TTGCAGCCAGGGGAAAAGCTGGGGCAGCAGCATGGCTCCAACGGGCTCATGGTTCTCTACCTGGGCTTTGATTTCTTTCCAGGTGGAGTCTGTGCAGGGTTGGACCCACCTGGAAGCCGGTGTGACCCAGGGCAGCACCTCTGATTCCTCCTGCAGCCACCAACCACTCATCTGACGCTGGGATCCACCAGAAAGCAGGAGGTAACGGCTCCCTGGGGTCCACAAAGCAGCAGATGGAGGCAGTCCCACAGCCCCAGGGATGTTCTCCTCCCACCAGCTCTCCTGGGCAAAGGTGGGCTTCTTCCTATGGCCATGGGGAAGCAAAAACCCACCCTGCAGCCCTTGCAGGAGCAGCAGGAGAGGCGCGCTCGCTCAGCGGGCTCTTCACCGCTCGCTCCAGCGCTACCAAGGCAGGGGCAGGAGAAGATAATTTTAAAGCAATAAGGAGAAGGCACATAAATAGAAGCAGGAGAAATATTGAAGCTGGCAGAGCTGCTTCTGACATCACCAAGCGCGAGACCCCGGCAATGAAATCACGGCCCCGGCCCCGGCGCTCCGGCCCCGAGCGGGTTATTATTCCTGCTCCAGCTGCACCTGAGCTCCCCGGCCACCCTGGGACACCTCTCGGCCACGTCCTGACTGCAGGCATCATCAGCATCAGCATCTTCCCCCCCTCCCCAAAAAAGTGAGAGCGGGAGAAACTCAACAGGCTAAAATTAACGCAGAAATGAGCATGACTCACATTTTCTTCTTCTTCAAAGTATTTTAAGCTGGTCACCACTGTTTGCCCGTGAAAGGAGAGAGCAGCTCCCATTAACGACTCTCCCCCTTCACGCCTGCTTGCTTCTTTTTCCTTACGGGCTGTGAAGGAGCTGGGTGCAGGCTGGGGAGCTCAGCCCTCGCTGGGGAGCTCTTGTTTGAGAGCATCGGCCTCAAAAACCCCTTCTCCTGAGGGAGGCTGTGATTGCGGAGCAGGAAGGATGCGGCACAAGCACCTGTTCCTCCCTCAGCACCCTTTCGACCCAAAACAAGGCATTTTTGGGTCTTCCCAGCCCCACATTTCATTTTCCCAGGCGTGGGATCAGCTACAGCCCTTGGTCTGTTGGGTTTTACAGGGAAATGGTGTTTTATTGACTTTGTTCATCTTTGTACATGTGGTTTTTCAGGATTTATTTTTTTGTCTTCCATCCAGGAGGCTTCAAGACACTCCTCCACCGACCCCCACCTAAAAGAAGCCGGGTTTGGCCACTGAAGGTAAAACACCCTCTGCATTTATCCCATCCCAAACCTAGGAGGGTTCCTGGCTGCACAAGGCAGACACGTCCCATGGGCTGCGGCGAAGCACAACTGCTCCTGTCTCTCAAAGCCGCTCTCCCCGGCACAATTAATCACAGGATGTGATTAGCTGATTTCCGACATGCCAGCTCTGGAAGAATGATGTACCTGTAACTGAAATGGATGCTGCTCTCAGGGAGGAGGAAAAGAAACCCACCCAAACCCTAAAATAATCACTCAGACTTTCAGATGCTGCAAAAAAGAGGTGCGAGACAACTGGAAAGGTGGAGAGCAGCTCTGGAGAGAGACCTGGGAGTCCTGGTGGACAACAAGTTGCCCTTGTGGCCAAAAAGGCCAATGGCATCCTGGGGGGCATCAAGAAGAGTGTGACCAGCAGGTGAAGGGAGGTCATCCTGCCCCTCTGCTCTGCCCTGGGAAGGCCCCATCTGGAGCACTGGGTCCAGTTCTGGGCTCCCCAGTTCCAGAAGGACAGGGAACTGCTGGAGAGAGTCCAGTGAAGGCTATGAAGATGACCAAGAGACTGGAGCATTTCTGCTGAGGAAAGGCTGAAGAACCTGGGGCTGTTCAGCTGGAGAAGAGCAGACTGAGAGGGGATCTCATTGATGCTGAGCAAGAGCTAAAGGGCGGGTGGCAAGAGGATGGGGCCAGACTCTTCTCAGTGGTGCCCGGGGACAGGACAAGGGGCAACAGGCACCAACTGGGACATGGGAAATTCCATCTCAACATGTCTGAAAGAAGCCGGGTTTGGCCACTGAAGGCAACACACCCAGAGAGGTGGTGGAGTCTCCTTCTCTGGAGACATTCAAACCCCACCTGGACACGTTCCTGTGGGACCTGCTCTGGCAGGGGGTTGGACGAGATGATCTCCAGAGGTCCCTTCCAACCCTGTTTCATTCTGTGATGATGGCTGATGGCTGAATCCTTACCAGACTTGGTTCCCCGTGTACTTCCAACACAAGAAGGCTGATGGCTGAGTCCTTACCAGGCTTGGTTCCCCGTGTACTTCCAACACAAGAAACCCTTCAGAGCAGTGTTAGAGGGAAGTGTGGGTTTTGCTTTTCCCTCCTGGCAGCCACCCCACAGGCAGCAGAGGGCATGGCAGGAAGTGATATCACCCCAACTTACGTCCAGGCAACCACAGACCCCACTAAAACCTGTGGAAAATTCAGAGAGCTGCTAAGACCTCCCTTCCCAGCTCTCCATAGCCCCCCGACACACACCACCGTGTTTTAAACTCAGGTGGACGCACAAAGGGTGAGAGGCCACAGCTTCTTGAGATCTTTCCTCAAACCATCGCATCTCCTGGGGTGTCCCAGCGAGGTTTGATCGTGCCCTGGCAGGGGATGTGGCCACAGAACCAGGTGCCAAGACCACCGACCCCATCCCAAACCCCAGCGGGGCAGGAGATGGGGCCACACACCAGGAATGGACCTTGGAGGAACTCCCTGTCCCCAACAGCTGGGAGAGAAACACAAACCAGCTCTTCATTTGGCTGCCTCTATCTCAGATGTGCAAATCAATACATCCCCCTTGAAGACAAACCCCAGCCTGTGCAGACAAGCCCCGAGTTTTCGCAGAAGCTGAGCCAGAGCAGCATGAAATCACCCCAGAAAGAACACGCAAAACGGAAAGCTAAAATTGCTTTATTTCTTGACAAAGCTGCTACTAAACAACTCAAAACGCATTGGCCTTTAAAAAAAACCAAACCAACCCAAAACGTAGCCGATGTTCCCTAGATTTGCCGTAGGGCCACGCTCCCAGACGCACGGAAACCGTGAGCTTTTCTGGCTGGTACCTGGAAAAAAAAACCCTGGGCTGTCAGAGCCGACAGCGTCAGAGTGATTCACAATTATGTCAGCGGTGCCAGAACAACCAAATTTTGTGGAAAATTTTCAGGATTCCGCCCAGAAATTGCATCTCCCCCCCCATCCACCCATCCCTTTCCATCTCTTCTGCTGTTACGGTGTCAGACCCTTCACACGCCCCATTTACCAGTGTCTTGGAGGATGAGGAAAAAAAAAATTTAAATAAAAATTCAACGAATCAAGAAGCAAGAGCTTCCATCTCCCCGGCTTTAAACCCAACCTCGGGGCAGGAGGCTCAAACACGCTCGGGGTGTAGATACAAACGAGCTGGGCTGTGGTTTTTTCACCCCCCCAGCCCTTAATCCACGGGATGCCAGTGTCTACCTTCACTGATGAGGAACTTTACCACCAGGAATCGTGGTTCTCTCCAGCAAGGACGGGCTTTTTCCACGTGGCCCCTCCTGCGTCAGCCGACGTCAGCGGGGTCCTGGGCACTGACCCCACACATCACCTCACTCCCCCATCGGGAGCAGCAATAGATCAGGGTGGCAGAACAGCATCTACTGCCTGGTGCTGCCACCAGAGCTTTGTCCCCCCCCCAACCCCTCCTCCTCCCAGTCACTCACGTGTGTCCGAGCTCTCCTTATGGGAGAAGTTTCCGGAAGGCTCCCGCCAGAGTCATTTATTAGAGCGACAACCCGAAATGTCAACTCCTCTACAAGCCGCTACGCTGGATTTCAACCCTTTTTTAATTGAAATACTGTAAAAAAAAAAGCAGGGGAGGAGGTCAGAGCCCCGGCTGCTCCCTTCTGAATTTGTGAAGTCAAGCGGGCAGCACCAGCCACGCTGCTTCTGAAACCTCTGAATCATCAATGCCAAAGGACACCCACCTGCCCTGTGTGTCCTGGGCTGTCCTCACCCCACCAAAGGGCTGAGGAGGAGGCGAGGAAGGTGCTGAGGTCTTCACCCAGGGTCCCAGCTCATTCCAGTTGCAAAAAGCAGCTTTCATTCTATCATTCCTGGTAGAATTCCCAGTGCCAGGAAAAAGTAACCATCACACCCACCTCCAAGGAGGACCAAGAGGAGCATCTGAGGAGAACCAGGGCAGTCAAGCCTTACCTCCATACTGGGAGAGATGGGGGCCAGACCCTCTCCAAAGCCCTCTCCTGCCATGGAGGGGGGAAGGGAGAGTTGGGAACAGCCAGGAAGGGTCCCCCACGGGCAGATCGTGCCTGCTGTGATGAGATGACAGCAGTGAGGACAAGGGAGGGACATGGATGTTGTACAGCAGGACCTTGCCAAGGCTGTGACCCTGCTGCCACACAACATCCTCGTGCCCAAATCAATGGGCTAGGGGCTGGAGAAGGGGCAGATCTGGTGCTGGAAACACAGACTAAGCTGGAGGAGAGGCCATGAGGATGGGTAGGGCTTTGGAGGATGTGATATGCCAGAAGCAGCTTGGAGACCAGAAACAGATTTTTCCCAGAGGTGCCCAGCAACCTATCGAGGGGCAACAGGCACAAGTTGAAACATCGTAAACCCCAACCAGATATTAGGAAAAACTTTTTCAACACAAGGGTGGTCAAATATGGGACCAGAGACCTAGATGCTGTGGACTCTCCATCCACATCCATTGAGTACCTCCACCCTTGGAGATATTCAAGCATCACCATCCTGATCTAATCGGACCTGCCTTGAGTGGGGTTTGACTGAAGACCTCAGAGGTCTCATCTAACCTCAGTCATTCCATGGTTGCGTGTCACCATAGAGTCACTTTAAGTTTTAATCTCAATTCCTACCACCAGGAAGGTAGGAATTCCAAACCTCATGGCATCCTACTGTAAAAGGATCAAACAGCACCGCTTGTGATGGAGAGAAAGCAGCCAAGCCCAGCGTAAATAAATGCACACAGAGAAAGAAATAACTCGTGTTGCAGAATAACCCGCGCAATTTCAACACCAAAACATTAAAAGCCCGCTGACAGCATCATAGAAATGGGTGGTTTTAGTTCACCTGCACCTCAGTCCTCTATTGCAACGCCCCAGAGCCCGTCCTGCAGCACCTTCTCCTGGGGCAAAGCTCAGAAATGCTCTCCCCAGAGGAGATGGCCCATTTGCTGCCGTGGGCTCTGGCATCAGCAAGTCCTTGGCACTTGGCAGGCTTTGGTTTGTAGCTTATGGCCATCAGCTTGAGCTTTCCTTCCAGGGTGAGTCTTGTGGTGAGGACCTCCTGGGGCATCAAGTCAGGACCTTCCTGGGGCATCAGTCCAGCCTTTTCACCATGTAAGGCCCTTCCAGCTCGTAACCGATCTTCCTGTAGTAGTTCCTTGTGCCAACACCTGTGAGAAGAACAACAAAAAGGTTTAATTCAGTGGCATGACTTCAGTTGCAGAAGTTACATCCAGGCAGGACAGTCAGTTCCATGGAGGGATGGTGCCACAAGGAGCTTGGCCACTCCAAACAGCCAGCACTGGGCTGCTGTGCTGGAGTGGGGGTGTTTACTCGTTAGCATCTGGACTAATTATGGTGTTTTTAAGCGGGGGGAACACGGAAACATGGCTGTTCTCTCTGCCTTGAGTCACACACCCCATCCTTTGTCCTGAGAAAGGCTGCGAGGGGGAGAGGAAGCGAGAGGGGAACAACGGTGGAAGGAGAGTCAGGAGTTCAGAGCACCCCGGGTCTGACAACACCCGGAGAGAGGGGCTCTCCAGAGGAGGAGGCCCAGCTGCAGGCATCATTACCAGGAACTGAAGGGCTCTAAAACCCCACAAACTCTGTCCAACGGCTCCTAGAAATGAGCTCAGCTCCACTTCAGAGAGACAAGTGGGCTCGGCGGCCGCAATCCAATTTCCTCGTTGAAAAGGAGGCCTCCGAGCGCCTCCGTTCTCCTCCAACAGCCTCTTCTTCCTCTCTTTAATGAGACCCCGCAGGGAAGAGCCCAGCCCCACCGACCCAGCAGCAGGACAGGTCTCCAGCCCAGCAGCCTTCCCCCTCACCTTTATCTAATTACTCACAGATGCAGCCATTAGTCACCGGGGGAGGGAGGGAGGAGGAATGGAGCATCGTGGCATCATCGCTGTCAGCCGCAGCTGGTGGGCAGGGACAGAAGGACAGATAGGACACGGGGCTCTCCATGGAGAAAAAGCAGCCCCTTTTTTTTTCCTCTAATCTCATCCCTCCAGCCAGTTCCTGGAAACTGCAAGATGTTATTGCAAATGGCTCTCCAGGAACCGGCTGCTTCGCCTCTCCTCTCCGACCCGGTGAGGCTGGTAACCCCTTCCTGCCTGCCCAGCTCTCCAGCTATTCCACCCACTGCTGCTTCGACAGATTTGTTTAAAATAGTGGTGATATATTTTCCTGAACGCACATCACAATAGTTACCGAACGGCTCAAGCACCACAGCTCCAGCCAAACATCCTAGAGAAGCATCATTAATTTAAGGTGTGGAAAAGACACCTGAAACCCAGACCTGAGATGTCCTCCTGCCCCTCATTCCAGCTGAAGCTGGGAAGTGCTTGAAAAACCACAACGAACCTCAAATTGGGGAACACCTGAGCAAATACCCAAGAAATTCTTTGCTGTGAGGGTGGTGAGCAAACCCCAAATTGGGGAACACCTGAGCAAACACCTGAGCAAACACCCAAGAAATTCTTTGGTGGGAGGGTGGTGAGAGCCTGGCCCAGGTTGCCCCGAGAAGCTGTGGCTGCCCCATCCCTGGAGGGGTTGAAGGGCAGGTTGGAGGGGGCTTGGAGCAACCTGGTGTGGTGGGAGGTGTCCCTGCCCAGGGCAGGGGGTGGCACTGGGGGGGCTTTAAGGTCCCTTCCAACCCGAACTATCCTGTGATTCTATGAAATTTACTTCCAGGCAGTGGCAAAGCCCTTGTGACATCGCAGCTGAGCACCATCCTCAACTAAAAACACCCAAATTCACTCAGCTTCAGGGTAAACTTGACAGCCAAGGAAAAACCCAAGTCCACTGCACACATGTCCACCCCCCTCTTCCCGATCTCTGCCCAGAAGGGTTGGGATCTCTGACCTATCACCTTTATCAAAATCTTGCTTAAAAAGCATCCTCTGGGTTTGTCAGCAGAGACGCTGGGGTACGACAGAGGGATTTTGGCAGCAGAACAGCAGAGCCACCCCACCCCTGGCGGTTACAAGAATTAGCAAAATCTAAAGCTGAAGAACAACCCTCTTGAAGCTGAAGGACAACTGAGCAATTGAGCTGATGGTGTTACAAACACCTCCATCTGAGTTATTTAACGCTTCTCCTTTTTTTTTTCCTTTTTCCCCTAAAGCCCTCGGGAAACGTGTGGATTTTCCCGAAGGCAGTTCAGGTTGCGTCGGAGCATCGAGTGCCACCTCCATTAATCTCAGAGCTATTAAGTGGCTCTAGTTAAGCGCCAACTCTTCCTCGTTTGAGGGCAAGGGGTTCAAGCCATTAACAAGAAGGATGATGGAGTTGGCCGGCCCCGTGCCCCAGGGGTCCCGCGCTGTGCTGCTGCGCAAAGCATCTCAGCCCCGCTCGGAGAAGTAACAGAATCACAGAATCTTCTAGGTTGGAAGGGACCTCAAAGATCATCTTGTCCAACCGTCAATCTAACTGACAAAAATAGACACCCGCACAACAAACAAGAAGCATCACCATCACTAAACCACACCTCCCAGCACTACATCAACCCGTCTTTTGAACACCGACTTGCACAAAATTACTGTCCTTCCACAGGAAAGTCCTCCATGAGGAGGAGGCAGGAGATGCCTCAAGCTGAGGAGTGAAGATACAGGGTGGTTTCCCTGCTCTAACCTGGGATGCCTCGCTAGCTCCAGCACTGCAGGAATGTTTTCAAGGCAAGAGGCTTTGGAGGGGGAAAAGCTCTCACCAAGACAAGCCAAGAAGCAGCAGTTGGGTTTGTTCCAGAATCATGGAAGCCAAGTGTCCGGGACTATTGTCCCCTGGACCACCAGCCCACGCCTCTACACTGTATGTGACTGGGGAAGGTGACTTCAGACTAGATTTTTGGTATCCTGGACTGGATGTCCCCACCTCACACTTGGTTTGAAATTGGCCAAAGAGCCCTTCAGAGGGTGGACTGTGTTTGATCTGCATCTGGAGCAGAGCTCATGGTTTAGTTTTCTCTGAAAGGAACTGTGCTGAAATACACCAAAACCTCCCCATGAGCCAAACCAGTGAGGATGAGGATGGGATTCAGGGCTACAAACATGATGAGGGGCCTGGAACATCTCTTATGAGGAAAGGCTGAGGGACTTGGGTCTTTTTAGTCTGGAGAAGAGAAGGCTGAGGTGGGATCTGATCAACACCTAGAAATACCTCAAGGGTGGGCGTCAGGAGGATGGGGCCAGGCTTTTCTCAGTGGTGCCCAGTGACAGGACAAGAGGAAATGGGCACAAACTTGAACACAAGAAGTTCCATCTCAACATGAGGAGGAACTTCTTTGCTGTGAGGGTGGCAGAGCCCTGGCAGAGGCTGCCCAGGGAGGTGGTGGAGTCTCCTTCTCTGGAGACATTCAAACCCCACCTGGACACGTTCCTGTGGGACCTGCTCTGGGTGGACCTGCTCTGGCAGGGGGTTGGAGGAGATGATCTCCAGAGGTCCCTTCCAACCCCATATCATTCTGTGATGCTGTGGGATTCGCTTTAGCTGCTCTGAACCCAAAGGCTCACAAACCCAGCCTACAATATTCACTCGGATACCGTTAATACAAAGTTATTTCCTTGCAGTCAGAGTGTATCAGGGAAATCACCACCGGAACGGAGGAGGGGTGTTTTGAGACCAGCATGGGACGACTGGAAGAGAAAGGGGGTGTTGAAGCATGGAATTGAAAGCAGGCTGCCAGCCAGAAACCATCCGCAGCCTTCCTCGTCCCCGAGAGAAGAGCAACACAGTGGGCACTGCTAAATAGAATAAAGGATCCGTGGGACACTAATAACTGCCTGCAAGTCATGCAGAAGGAATTCAGCTTCACAGACCTCTCCGTTGTGAAATTATCACAACTTTGGATGAACGCAAAGTCCAAAAAAAAGCGAAGTTGCAGGACGACGACACTGGTTTCTGATGGCAAGGAGAGCACGAACACACAGTCCTGAGAAAATCAGAGCTCCAGTTATCAAACCAACGTGCCATTTCCTCTGCTCACAAGTCATTCTAGTCACTGGTGATGCCCTGCCTGCACCGAATACTCATCCATCGAGCACACCTGGAAGGAAGGTCTCCAGGACACAAGTTCTCTTCCCAAATCTCTGCTGCTCTAATTGATGGCAAACGTTCTGCCGAGCTGGTGGGACCAGTTCAGGCAGCCTCTTCCCACTGCTCCAGGTCGCACCCACGCCTTCCAGTGACAAGAAAACCCAAGAAATAGCACAAAAGAAACATCACGCAGGAGGGGCACAGTAAGCCCAAAAGCTGCCCCGAGGAGATCTCCGGCTTTCAGAGCTGGAACTGGCTGCATTTCTCATTCTGGGTCTTTAAAACAAGGTCTTAAATTTTAAATATTCCGTATCAAACCAGGCAGGGGAGCTCAGCTGGAACTCAGAGGAGCAGATTTCAACCAGCCCCTTCCAGCCTGACCGCCAGCGATGTGGCTGGAGGACAGGAGCTCTGATCACCCCTGTCTGGATGGAAACCCGTGGCCAGGGGCCAGCTGGGGCTTTTTGGAAGCGTCCCTCCCCGCAATCTTCAAATGACACATCCTCTGGCGACGGCTGCTGGTTCATTTAAATGCCTTTTGTTCTCCTCTTTTGGAAGCAGGCGAATAACGGCGAAGCCTACCGATAAAAGCCCAAAAGATAAAACCTCAAGTTTTCACCGTAACGCTTAGACCTCAAAATCGGTTAAATAAATTTTAAAAGCCTGCCTGTAGCTGGGAGCAGAGAAAGGTGACCACAGCATTGGGGTTAGATGGCCCAGAAGGATGGGCAGTGGGCACGGGACGGCTACCCTGAGGCCAGCAGACATGAGATGTCCCTGCTCACGTGCAGCATTCCCTGCTCATCACCATCCCCGTGCAGAGCCCACAAATACCCCCTTCTGACCCAGCCCTGCCGCACAGACGTATCGCCACGCCGCACCCGAGCACGAGGATCCTCCAAGGTTCCTTCGGTTAAATAAATTTTAAAAGCCTGCCTGTAGCTGGGAGCAGAGAAAGGTGACCACAGCATTGGGGTTAGATGGCCCAGAAGGATGGGCAGTGGGCACGGGACGGCTACCCTGAGGCCAGCAGACATGAGATGTCCCTGCTCACGTGCAGCATTCCCTGCTCATCACCATCCCCGTGCAGAGCCCACAAATACCCCCTTCTGACCCAGCCCTGCCGCACAGACGT